GGGGGCCGGGGAGGGGCTCACCGTTGCTGTAGGGCTGCCAGAAGCGGAAGCGGGTGGCGTTGCTCTGGGCGCTGGCCGGCAGCGGCAGGTGCAGGAACAGCGTGTCGGTGGACTGGGGGAAGTAGAACTCGTCCAGGAGCAGCCAGCTGATGCCGCCGTTCACCGAGTACTGCAGCAGCACCGAGTGGGAGCGCTCCGGGACCCCTGGAGAGACACGCACAGGCACACGTTGGGCGACCGCGGCTCGGGGGGCGCCGGGGGGTGGCGGGACGGGCGGACAGATACACACAGCCATACCCTTGGTGATGAACTTGAAGGAGAACTGGATGTACAGGGTGCCGCTGCAGTCCAGGTCACGCGACACCAGCATCCGCAAGCCCTCCTGCAGAGCCGGGCCCCACCGGGTCAAGGGGGGGGGGGCGACCAGGTCCGACACCGGCAGACCACGGCGAGCCCCAGAGGAGGAGGGAAAGGCGGGAAGTGAGATCAGGAAAAAGGCAACAGCTAAGACTCCGATCGCGACCCGAATCAGAGCTTTTCCAGCCTGGTGTTTCTTGGTTTCTGTTCGAGCCGAGTCAGGCCGACGCTTGACCCCCGCGGAGATGCGGCAGTGCCGACGCTCATGTTCACCGCGTCAGGAGCGGACAGCTGTGCTTCCCCTCTCGGCTGGCCTTCGCTTCAGCTTCATTCACGCCGCAGTCCGGCGGCTGGAACTCCTGATGTACCCCCCGGTCAAGAGTCTCCTGACCAGCGAGTGAGCACCTCTGCGTCAGGAGCCTCCACTTCGGCTGCTCAGTTATTTGGGGATGGGGAAATGTCCACATGACCGCATTTTGATGGAGCGAGCCAGTACAGTCCCTGCACACGATCACGGCGCGCTGTGCACTCAGTGCAATTTCAAGGCCCCAGGAGCCAGTCTGAGCACAGCTAGCTCCAGGGCCTTTCAGCACTGGTGCCCCACAGGAAACCTCACCAGCAGGCTCCTTCTGCTCTTCCTGCTGCTGGCTGAAGACCCACTTGTTCAGGGCTGCCGTCTCATGTCAGGAATACACCTGAGTGACTCTTTTGAAGCGCCCTGTAAAGTTTACAGGTGAGGGGCGCTGTATACGTGGAATTAAAATGACTTATCGACGGCTTTAATCAGACCAGTTCCAATTGTTGCTTTCAGCTGAAAATGCAGAGCCAGGCTGGAAAATCCCCGATTGAAATCCTATGAATAATCAGCAAGATAGGTTTGTGGAAGCTGGCTCTTATTTACAAAGTTTTAAACTTACGATTCCATCCTAAAATCAAGGAAAGCGTAAGAACCTGAGTCTCGAGCATATTGAGAAAAACATATGCTCATACAGCACTAATTAATGCTGTATGAGGATGAGACCATTGTGCTGGGCAGCCTTGTATGATATACCAGGTGTGTTACATTTGGACCCATCGGCCCAGTCTGGGATACTACTGGCAGCAGGTGTGTGGGTGTGCCATTAAAGACTGGGTACCTTGATGGCACACCCCTCAGAGACACAGCCCCCTATTCCTCCAGCCTCACACTACTGGAGAGGGAGGGCTCTTATGGGTCTGACAACAGATCAATGATTTATCACTTCGTCTCCTGTCTGCTGGCCTCAGTCCATTTAAGACACCTTGCTGCACACCACAGCACAGCCCCCCCGTCCACAGACGCACCCCCTTGAAGATGAGCGCAGTGCCAGACTTCAGGGTCTCCCCGTTAAGAGTCCCCCTCTCGGCCCCGTACACCTCAGGCCACCGCTCGGGGCGCAGGTTTTCATTGAAGTCTTCCCGCAACACGGATGGCATGGGCGTCACAGGGACACAGTGAGGACCCCCAAAGCCGCGGTCACACCTGGGGGGGGGACAGGAGAGATTCAAGATGGGGGGAAGAGGTGGAAGGAGAAGGAAGAGGAGCACAGCGGAGACAGAGAGGAGGAGGAGAAAGGAGGGGTGAAGGGGTGAAGGGCAAGAGAAGAGCTCAGCAGAGACAGAGAGGAGGAGACGGGAGTGTTGAAGAGGAGGAGAGGAGGAGAAGGGAGTGATGAAGAGGAAGAGAGGAGTACAG